TATGGGGCAGAGGTGGGGGGCATAGCCCAGCCACCCATGCTGCCCCCCATCCCACTTTCCCTCCAGCAGTGGAAGGAAGTGAAGGCAGCATGGACTCACCTCCCCAGTCCATTACTCCTCTCACCACTGGTGGTGTGGCTGGCACAGGGGTCTTGGCAGCAGTGCCAGCAGCAATGAATCTTACTGCCCTGCTCCATACTCCTGGACCTGGTCCCTCTGGTCGGTCCAGACAGGCTACAGCCCTGTGACCACAGTGGTCACAGAAATCAGGAGGGCACATGCCCCCCTACCCCCTTGACATGTCACCTGTGCCTCCCCTGCTCCAGTTTACCTGGAGTGAGCTGCGGGAGCTGCTCTCCACTGTTGCCTGATTTCCACATGCATGTGTGCGTGTGCACACATGCACATGGTGCCCTCTACCATATCATCCTCTTCCCACTTCCCCAGTTCCAAGCAGCTCCTTGCTTCTTTAAAGGAGCAGCTCCTTTAAGGAAAAAATCTGCATTTTTCAGGGAACCTGGCAGCAGCAGCGGTGGGTGTAGCCCAGGGTGTGGGCTACCCCAGCTGACCTTGGAGGTCACGATTGTGCCAGATCTGCAGCCCCAGCGACCCCCTGATACCTGCTCATTGTCCCCCAGGGGAACATGGACCCCCAGTTGAGAACCACTACTATAGACAATGAGCAAAGGCAACTTGACTGGGATTTAGAAGGCCTGGGTATGGATGACAAGAACTAAGTATTACCATTGAGGTGTCAGACTGCCTGATGAACTGAAAATCGAAACAAAGATGACCTCTCCTCAGCTAGATGTTTAGAATACAATCCTGTTCTTTCATGTCTTGAAACTCTATATAAACAAGAACAGGGTGCATATTACATATCTTTGTACCCTTGAAAATGTTTGATCTGTGTTTCCCATTGGATTTGCTTAGTCCCAAAATGCCCAGAACCTATGACTGGCCATTCTGTGTAAAGCTTGTATATTCTACCAGCTTATCACTATTAGTACTGGCAAAATAACTTATTTTCACTTTCATTATGCTTTTCAGTGTTTCAAAAATGTTTCACAGAATTTTCTTTGTGAACCACTAGTGATGCCTCAGTTAAGAGCAGACACTGTTTCATTAAAATATTTTAGTGCTAGAGTTAAAATTTTAAGATCATCATCAAGTTTAGGGAGTTCTGTAAAACTCACTTAATAAATCTATAAAAAATTAGATGGTTGAATAGTCTGTATTTTGCTCATACCTACATATATGCTCTCAGACTCTACAAAAATAGTTGTTTTAACTTACTTTTTCATGGAATATAGTAAATCCATAAAAATGTGAAATCAATGCAAGTGGGACATCTTAAATGCAATTTTATTTAATTTCTCATCTGTCTTTTCCTTTAAAAGTTATTAAACATTTAATCCTGGTTTATTTTAATGGTTTGTGATGAAGACCACAGTATTTCAAAGAAAACATTATACATTCCAGGTTGCGGGATTTTCTTTTAAGGGCTGAGAAAGAAAATTCAAATCCAGTCTTCCCACATAAGGGAAAAATGAAGATGACATATGTAGCTTCCAAGAAATGAGATATAATGTTATATGAAGATACACTATGATCCTATGTACAAAACAGCACTGATGGCATTTCTTAAGGCCACTAAATATTACACCCTTCCAATAGCTTATTAGGCACCATTAACCTAACCCAGGAGCAGGCAATGTTTTTTGGCCAGTGTCGAAAAAACCACAATGCCTACCTTGGAAGGTGCCAGAGTGCCAGCATGCCAAAAAAAACAGGACGCAGTGCATATTGGTATATTTAATAGTCATAAATGTTGTCTTTGTTATTGTGTACTTTTTTGTTAAGCATGTTACACAGAGAGAGCGAGAGAGAAGAAAAAAAGAGAAATAAGAGAAAGAGAAGAGAGAGAAAGAGCAGAGAGAGAGCCAGGCACATACACACACACGCACCCGCACACGCACACACACACACACACACACAGACCCACACATGCACATGCGCGCGCACGCGCGCACACACGCACACACACACACACAAAACCACATGTGCACAAACACAAAGAACCAGAACAGGCACACACATGCACACACACATCCAACACCAGACACCTGTGTGCACACAGACATACAGAACAAGAGGCAGACAAACACACACAACCAGATGCATGGGTGCACAGAGCCAGGCTGCTGGGCCATTGGACAAAGTCCAACCCAACAATGACCTGGGCCTGCCAGAGCCCCTGTGGTTCCCTGGGGGGCCAGCCCCTGGGCTGCAGCATGGCCAGCTGAGGCCCGGCCCAGAGCCTGCTCATCAGCCCAGCCACCCACTCACCCCGCACAACTAAGCCCACAAAGGTGTGGTGCTCCTGGCAAGGGGCAGTGCCAGCCTCATCCCAGTAGTGGGGCTGGGCCAGTGCTGGGCTTGGAGTGGGTGGGAATCAGGCAGGCTCAGCTGCAAGCCCTGCTGCAAGCAGCCTGGGCTCCATAGTTGGCAGCAGCTATCCAGAGCTGGGGCTGGCTGCAGTCAGGAAGCTGCAAACAGCTGCATGCGTGCCTCAGAGCAGATAGTGGCCTGAGGCAGCACAACCCCGGCCTCTCCCCTGTTGCCAGCACAGAGCTGATGACTGGGCTCTAAAGACTGGAGAAGCTGCTTGTAGCCAGCCTGGGCTCTGGACAGCTATAGCAAGCAGCAGGTAGGCTGCAAACAGCTGCGCTGGGGTTCACAGCTCTGACACCAGCTCCATGCTAGTGGTGACTGCGCACGCACCTTGAAGCAGACAGTGGGAGGGCTGTGCTGCCTCAGGGGATTGAATAGCAGCCTTCAACTCCCTGCAGGGGGGTTGCAAAGAGGATGGAGCTGGACTGTTCTCAATGTGGGCAGGTGCCAGGACAAGGAGCAACGGGCTCAAGCTGTAGCAAGGGCAGTATGGCTCTAACCCCTCAGGTTGCATTAGGAGCCCTGCCAGTGTCCCCCACATCCACTGCCACGTGCAGCCCTTCTGCCTGAGGGGCCCGGGCTCTCGGCAAAGGGGAGTGACAGAGAGGGGAGTACCCTGCACACCAGGGCTGTGTGCGCCATTCCGGAAAGGGGTTGTTTGCATGGTGCTGTGCCAGAGTGACTGGGTGCTGCAACACGTGAGTGGAGGGGTGGCAAGCGGGCCACCCGCCCAAGCTGCACAGGATGTTGTGCTGCTGCTGCCAAGCCATGCACTGCTGGCTCCCAAACAGAAGCTCCACAGTGATTCATTTCAGACCCTGGCAGCTCCAGTATAAACGGGCAATGGCCAATCAGGACATGTGGGGCCGGTGCAACCCTCTCCCTCCCCTGCAACTTTTTCAAGTACCGTTGGGGTGCGCGTACCCCCAGGGGACAACCTCCACGTAGCACTGGGGTGTGTGCGCCCTGGAGGACAACACCCGCCTACAGCACGGTCGCATCGCATGGTGCTGTGAATGTGGATGGGGTGCATATACCAAGCCCATGGCTGTCCAGCCATGAAAACCTGTTTGTGGTGTGCTTGAACAGCGCCATGAATGTAGACACGGTACACATCAGTGTCGGGGACACCCCCCTGCCTGCAGCAACGCGGCTCCACCCAGCACCCCGGCCCTGGCCCTGACCACAGGGACAAACGGGCACAGGCCGCCCCACCATCTGCACTCCCACATGTGCGGCCGCCCCAGGCCAGACACATCCCTGCCCCACAGTGGGGGTGTCCACATGCTGGGGTCCCTGGAGCAGGGGCCACAGGCACTCACCGCGGGGCACTGGGCATCCTCCTGCCTTGGACTTGCATGGGTCCCTTTCACGTGTCACCCCAGAAATAAACCTGCCCCCACCTCATCTCCCCATGGGATGCCCTGCCCTGCCCCGGAACACACTTCGTGCTGAAGCTGGAGCTGGAGCTGGAGCAGGCAGCGGGCTGAGCCTGGGGCAGTGTCAGCGAAATGATCTCTGACTGGTGACTGCACATGTACCTTGGAGCAGGCAGCAAGGATAGGGGCCTGGCCCTGAGGCAGTGCAGCCCTCCCACTGTCCTCTCCGAGGTGCACGCACAGTCACTGCCAGCACGGAACTGATGCCAGAGCTATGGAGCCCCACACAGCTGATTGCAGCCTGCCCACTGCTTGCTGCAGCTGCCCAGAGCTCAGGCTGGCTACAAGCAGCTACACCAAGCTTCGGAGCCCCACCATCAGCTCTGTGCCGGAAGTGGGGGAGAGACCGGGGTTGCGCTGCCTCAGGCCCCTCCCACCGCCTGCTGCAAGGCATGGGTGCATGCGCTGGTACAGAGCTGATGCCAGAGACTGGCACAGCTGTTTGCAGACTGCATGCTGTACCCAGTCCCGGCTCTGGGTAGCTACTGCCAACCACGGAGCCTGGGCTGCTTGCAGCAGGGCTTGCAGCTTCTCATTCGCCTGCTGAAAGCAGCCCGGGTTCCATCACTGGCAGCAGTTACCCAGAGCTGGGGCTCGTGGTGGTGTGCCAAGCAAAATGGCTGCATGTGCCATGCTCGGCACTTGTGCCGGAGGTTGCCAACCCCTGACCTAACCTATATCTCCTTTAAGTCTATGGAAACACTTGCTAAACACATGGATGTTAGTTTGGCCACATGATAGTAATTTAAATATTAATAAATAAGATTCTCAGATGATGGCATCTAATGACCCAACTTGAACTGGGAATCAGCTTCCATATGTGGATATCTGGGGTTAAGTATCTTGCATCAGTCTCATACAATCAGTTTTTACAAATCCCAACTTAAACAGAAAGTTCTAACTAAAAACTGATTGCACAGTATGGCAGTGGGATCCACATGTACCATTATTTCAGCCAACTATAATTGTAATTAGACTGCATAAACAACATTTCAGGTGTCAATATTCCATTTGTTGTTAAAACAATCCAGTTTATTACTGCTGAATCAAATGTTTGAAGTATCAAAAAAAAGTGACTTGTCTTTGTGGGCAATCTTTCAATTTTAGAATGAAACAGATTGAAGATCAAACTAACAAACATACCAAGAATAGAACTGTTAATGAAGTAATTGAAAGGCTGAAGGACAATGTGATACAACAGGAAGCGAGTATTAAAGACAGCTTTCTTGCATTCAACAAGCAATCAAGTGGCAAAATTAGTAAAGTTGATTTCAGAAAGGTAGGAGAGGCTACTTGTTTTTCTCCCTTTTGTTGTTTTCCCTGGAAAGAGGTTTATTGTTTTGTACTCACATACCTAAAGTTGATTTTCAAGTGCTGTTTCAGTCATTGATGAGTTGAAGGAAGCTCACATGAACTCCTTAATAGCATGAGGGGAGTCTTAGATTTCATCTCCCATTTATAAAGAAAAAAGAAGTCATTTTCTAACCTTTGAAAATTGAAATTGATGTAAACTGATCTCCAACACCAAAAGGAACATGTTACTAGACTCCACGGGTGCATCTAGACGAGTGTGAGTGTGCAATTTGCAGCACTGCAGACCCGCAAATCACATGCGTTGCACATGCAGGCATTCTCCACACTCTAAATTTGCAGCACAGTGAGCTTTTTTTGACACCGGGATATCCCAGTGTCAAAAAACCCCACAGCAGAAAAAAGCAGGGTGGTACATGTGGCAGCAGTGTGCACCTCCTGAATCCAGAGCCTGGCTGGCCAGAGCCACTTTCCAGCTAGCGGAGAGGCTCTGCACACCTGGACTGCCACCACTAGAACTCTGGGATGCCCCCAGGACCCCACATAAGGCTGCTGGGGCCAGCCTAGGTGCTGGCCCCAGTCTTCCTGACATCACCTAGGGCAACTTGCTGCATATCAAAGACCTCATGCATGGGTGTTCCCCAGGGACAAGTAGCAGTGGCAGAACTATGTACTGCTGCTATTTGTCCCCAGGGAAATGCACATGCATGCTTGTCTGAATGTGCCCCATGTCTGCAGGAGATGGCAGCAAATCTCAATGACCCAATCTCTATCCTGTGTCAGTTATATTTGTGGTGCAAATCAAATGAGTATCTAGCTAATAACCCTTACCAAAATCCTTAGGCCATGTATATGGGTGATAGCAACTGAGTACAGTTGAGTGGAGATAAGTAGTAATATATTGTTTGAAAACCAACCAAAATGCCTGATGGTTAAAACTTTACCTCTGAAGCCTAGACTGAGTTGGTTGCCACTTATTGAGCAACCATTATGCAACAACATCAAGTTCAGTTGTGTAAGTACATTAAGCACCTCGAACAATTCCATGGTTAAAAGGGCTGCAAGTCCAGCTTGTGGCCCATTGAATCCTACACTATCACTGCCAGTGCTGTTTCAATCACAATCACAATCATATTCAAAGTAAACATAAAATGTATGTTTATACTGGGGATGCAGATTCCAAAATAATGTTGGCAGGCAGTAAGCTCAAGAACAAAAGCCTTAATTGATAAACCTCCTGCACCTAGGGATGGACTGATCATTCATCTGATTAAAATTGATGGGTTAGATTCTAGGCAGTGCAAGAGAGCTCCCAAGCAAGCCTTAGAGTTGGCAGGCTTTATGTCACCTTTAAAGCTTTGCCTCTTGCAAGCACAAGACCCTTTCCTAGCATGCCACTCTCTACAAGGGCTATATGAAGTGCCTGTGTTAGGGGGGTTCTCCCCCAGGCACAGGATACAAAAACCATAGCTGGAGTACTGAATCCCTTCTACAATGTACTTCTATCACTGGCTTTTGTTACGCTGATTTTTACCACATATGGGGAATGCAGCCCTAGAATTATTAGGCCTTTTGGAAGCTATTCATACTGTGGATGGGTACAGAGATTATTTGTGATGTCCCCCAGAGCCTGTTGTAGCTCTAATTGTTTATCTGTCTCTTCATGGTGCCTCTTGAAGAGATTTGTTAACTCCATGGCTTTGGTATTAGTGCTGTGATGCAGGTGATACCTGGCAAATGTTTCTCTCTCTCTCTCTCTCTCTCTCTCTGTCTCCAGACTTCAAGGGGAAATACATTGTTATGGTTTGCTATTGGTTGCAGGAAACTGGTTGAGAGTGTGTTAGCAAAACTGCAGTTATTCTGAATAGATCAGGTGGGAGAGACTATGGCAAGGACATTTTCTTGGGTGGGGAGATACTGCAGAGAGCAAGTGTGGCCACAACCTATGCCTTGTGTTTTTTCCTGTGATGATGTTTCAAGATCAGGAGAAAGCCATAGTTTAAATAGGACTGTATCATGTTAATAAATCTCCTAAAAATGACAGCACAGGTTGTTTGCCTCTTTTGTGTTATAGGCTCTTCAGTGGTGAAAATTTCATCTCACTGTAACTATAGAATATACTGTGTTGACTTGTCTGCTCTCCTCCTCCCAGATGTATTTCTGTGATTCTGTGAATATGAAAGCAAACTGCTTTGAAATATGGAGTGCTAAATACATGTAAAATAGTATTTTTTTCTTAATAATGATACTATGTATTAAGAATACAGTTAAATTGTAAGCTTTCCTCCCACATGCTGTTCTTACATCTGTGGTATGTACCTTTGGGATATTGACTTTGGATTACTGCAGTGTGCTCTACAGTGGCTTATTTGTTGCCTGCAGCTAATGCAGCAGTAGAATTGTCGTCATTGGTAGACAGAGTGAATGCTATCTACTTGCTGCTTTTTTCCCCTCTGCATTGGCTGTTTGTGACCAAGTTGAATTCAAGGTTTTGGTCTAACACCAAAAGCCTTTAAAAGACTGTCTTAGGGATCTCACTGTTTCTCTGAGACTCTACAGAAAATATATTCCTTTTTGAATATTGCCGGTACACAAAGAATAAGTATAATCTTATATCTGCAGCCAGTTGTGCTGCAGTCCTATCAGATCTCACAAGCCAAGAAGGTTCAGGCCAGAGAAATGTGGATGGAACACTGGGAAGACTTACCTTTTGAAACATGTCATTGTGATTGTACAGTAGAGGCCATACTTTCCTCTAATTATCCAGTTATGTTCTCCAACAACCATTCCCCACACCTCCACCTGCTCAGGCGGAATGTAATAGAACTACTCATGAAGAAAAGTGATGCCCTGTATGCTTAAGAGTAGGAAGACAGGATCCCAAAATAATACTGATCTGAGAGGAGCTATCTTTAAGATGAACTGTGGCTGCCCAGAGTTGCCTGTATCCCAGAGGACCCATCAGTTATTTTGCCCCCACCATCACATGGTGGAGTAGGAAGATATTGTAGTAGAGGTACTTTATGCATGCCCTTTTGTTCCTCAACAGGATTGCAGGCCTTTGTCTTGGCTAAATTAACTGCTGACATCAGTAATGCCACTGATAAGCTTTGTAGTGGTGGCAAGAACTGAGCTCCCTGGGTCTACTCTACCTCTTTTTGTAGGCCATACATCCCATCTCCTGGCATGTATGAGGCAGAGTAAATATTGTTGATACAAAGGCAGTAGAGGGGATGAAGAGCAAGATAACTCTTCATGCTTTTCTGGAGCTCTGCTGGATTTCACTAGCCATCAGATAAATCTACATGAGATGCTTTAGTGCACATTAGCTTAGATTACTGCACAATACGGATGTGTGTCCACACGTGCATGTCCTTACTGCATAGTAAAAATGGTTAATTGTGACTAAATTTGATACCTGCAAATGTAGGTATTAAATTTAGTCGTGATTACTTAATGTGCAATAACACCCATGTAGACACGACACAGCACTAACTTTAGGGCCAGGTCTGCCCTGCCACTAGGGAGCAAGGCTAAGCCCAGCCCTAGGGCTCCTGGCTGGGACCCTCTCCTGGGCCAGGGCTGGGCTGCTCTCTGGCAGCCCCGAGCGGCAGGCAATAAAAGCCTTCAGCCATTCTATGCACTGGGGCACACACACCAGGACCTTGGAGGAGCCTGTGCTCTGAACAAGACCACTGCAGGCCTTGTGGGCCCCCCTGGGCAGAACACAGGCTGCTTCTGCCTGGCCTGTCCCTCTCCAGAGCTGCTGCTTGGTCACAGGTAAGTCTTGCAAAGGACTGCAGCTTGCTGCACCCCTTGCCCAGGTCTGATATTCCCCCCAGTGCTGCTGCCTGGCTGCCTCTGATGGCAGGACCAGCTCCTGTTCCCTGCTGCTGCTCATCCTGCGAGTGTCTCCATCTTTGCAGGTGCTGTACTGAAGTGCCTGTGCTGTGTGGCTCCCAGTCTCTGGCCATGTCCCTGTACTGAGTGCTGCTATGAGCTCTCCAGGGTTGGCATCACAGGGACAGCTGCACAGCAGCCCAGAGAGCTGGCGCAAGATGAGCATGTCATCCTCCTCTTCGTCATCAAGCCCTGGCCCTGCCCGCATGCGCATGCCTGTGCTGACCTCTTGGGCCCCCAGCTGGACCTGGGAGGAGGTTGTCAAGCTGGAACGAGAACAATCCAAGTCAGTGTGGCAGTGCTGCATTAAGGTCAAGGACTTGTGGGCACAGTGGATGACCATGACTGACTGCAGTCATCAGTATGGTCATGCCTGCAAGACCAAGGCCTTTATTTGGGAGCTGACTCATATTCTGGCACCCTGGGACCCAGGCCACACCCCTGTGAGTATCACCAGCAGAGGCAGCCTGCCCTGCCCCTCTGGTGACATGTCATCGGTGGTGGGGACCTCAGGCCTTCAGCACCCTGACCTGCCCTCCTCTCTGGTTGCTGCATCTACTGGCAGCTCGGGGAGCTCGGCCAGTGGCTGCCTTATCCTCAGCACAGCCCCAGACCCCTCCATGAGGAGCAGCTGGCAAGGTCACTACCAGCCAACAGCAGCGCCAGCTCCTCGGCAGGGGCCCCCTAACTGGTTAGCAGCCTGCCATGCACGAGCCATGTACACCAGGTGCAGTCAGTTGCCCTTGTGCTAGCCTTGCCAGCCCCAGACACATGGTCAGTCCTGCACTTGGGGGAGAGCCCTCCCTCCTTCCCTCTCCTGCTCCCCCTTCCTAGACCCTCCCTAATATAGTAAACAGTAAATAGATGTAAGCAGGGTTTTTATTGTTGGTGAGTGGGGGGGGGAGTGGGGAGAGGGCTCTGTTTGTTGAGGGGGGAGGTAGAGAAGGAGATGGGGGAAGGGGATGGGGGTGGGTGTGGATAGGGAAATAAAGTTTTTTTGTTTCAACCATGTGCATGTCCTGAGAGTGGTGCTGGGGATGGGCAGGGGGTAGGGGGTGTGTGGGCAGTGGGGCAGGCAGGCTGGAGCAGGGAGTGCAGGAGAAGGGGGTCAGCCAAGGTCTCCTGCAGCTGGTGCCCTGGCCCCTGCTCGTGGGCACGCAATTGTCCTGGGGCCTGGGCAGGAGGTGCCCTGCAGGGGCCATCAGGGCCAGCACCATGGCCAACAGAAGCTCAGGGCACTGTTGTTGCTGGCGGGGCAGGGCTGGAGCAGCCATGGCATGGGGAGGCAGGGTGGGCAAGGAGGGAGCTGCCATGTGCTGCCCCTGCACTGGGCACATGGCTTCTGGGCAGGGAAGGGACTGGCCAGGGATCAGAGGGCAGGGGGGGAGGGAGGGCTTCAAGATGGCTACCAAGTACCGTTAGCTGACTGGCTTCAACAAGGCTGCCAAGTGCCGGCAGCCATGTGGCTGGAGGCTGGGACTCCCCCTGGCAGCCACAGAGGCACATGCGGGGTTGGAGGGACTTGCCACTAAAGTTAATGCCAAGTCCCTGCACATGTAGGCACCTGCCAAAAATAAGTTATTGAGCATTAGGCTAATGTGCAATAACTTTAATTGCAACTAATTGCATGCATTGTCCTGACTACTGTGGGAACAGGTCCTTGGATCCCTGTATTAATACTGTGCAGTCAAAGGGTTTTGTGGAAATACAGTTATGCAGAAGCAAGACTAAGGGTAACAGCTGTCCACACACTTTGGATGTGTGACCATTAGGAGACAATCATTTTGTAGCACTCCAGTATCTCGAAGCCATAGTCATGACCAGGGGCACCTCTCCTTAAATCAGGTTCAAAATCTTTTTATTTTGTGACACACGCAGTCCAGGACAATGAGCTTATCTTAGAATATATATTTATTTTATTTTATTATTTATTTTATATTATTATTTTATTATTTATTTGCTTTGCATGTCCAGATTTTTGTATTCCTTCTACAATTAATCACTTGATCCAGTGGCAAATACCTGTCTTACAGAACAGGAAATATACTTGCTTATCCCAAAGCTTTCAATGCACTGAAAGGAATGATAATTTGCTAATTAGAGTATTCTTACTTGTTTATACTCCATATACCATTCAGCCATTTGATGCTTTTTTTTTTCTTTTAATCTCTACAACTAACAAAAGTAATAGCCATAGAAACACTTGACAAAGCACATGTCAGAGTTTTGTGGTACAGATGATAAAAGAGCACACCCACATCAGGCGTTAAGAAGCCAGATCTAGGGCTTTCTTCTAAAATCCTGGAGTAGCTGAGGACAATAGAATGTATGCAGAAAGTGCTGAATAGCAGTACAAGCCAATGCTGTCACTACTAAGTAAAACCCAATGAGAGACAGGAAGAAAGACAGAGTAGCAGAGAACTATTATGGCCAACTGCTTGAGAGAGGGAGAATCGTGTACCCCAGACACCTGTCCTCTAGCACAGTGTTTCTCAACTTTGGATCACAAGAATATATGAAAAGGTCATGAACAAACTTTAAACATGGATCAACAAACTCTTAAAATGGATTCTCTTTTAAAGGAGAAAAACTTGGCAAAACCGAGGGTTTTCTCTTACAGGCTGGCAGAGTCCCAGCCTACAAGGGGCTGCTTGGGACTCCCCATGCCCTTCTGCCCCCATCCCACACACTGGGGGACTGTGGTCAGGAGTGAAGGGTGCTGGGTCAGGACTGGCCAATCATTACAAATGGGTCCTGGTACAAAAAAGGTTGACAACCACTGCTCTAGCACTAAGAACGTGTTGATAACTTCCTCCTCCTCGACTCCAGTCAGAAAAGGGGAAGCATGTTGGGCATGCAAATGTACCAGAAAGCTCCTAGCCAAAACTGTTATGAGAGGTGGACCCTCAAATCCTGGTTCAGAGGTATGTGTGTGGTAGGAATCCTAAACCACTGAATGTCAGCAAGTGCAATGGGAGAAGAGCAAGGAATGGAAAAATCTGGTCATGACCCATTGAACCTTCCACTGAGCATCTGCCCTCTGCTACTGTGTGACAGTTGGGCTATTGGGCTGGATGGACGTATGGTCTGACTCAGTAAAGGGCAGTTCTTATGTTCTCATGTTTATGTTATGTTCACCCTCTCTCCTTCCTGCAGCAATAAGTGGCTACAGGGAGCCTGTGATAAAATGTTAATATTATTAAAATTCATTTTGTGGCTGGGGGGTGCAGGAGGGGCAGGAATAAATCTTGTTCAGGAGCTAATTGTGGCTTCATGTCAAGAAAAGTGTTAGCAGCACATTCTATAAGACTGTTAGACAAATTACAGATTCACTCTGTTAATTGATTTGTCATCTGACACTTTTCAGATGACATGAGTGTCATCTGACACTTTTCATTTTCCAGTTGCAGTTAAATCTCAGCCAGGCATTTCATGCTTCTATATAGCACCACCACTGAAAAAATAATTTCTCTGTTCCTCCTTTCGTACTGTTTTGAAACCATTGGGAGTAGAACAACAGCTAAATTAGTCCCTATAAATACAATGAGAAGAGGTAAATTTTCAAATCTATGTAGGGTTTAACTTTGTAATCAAAACCCATGCAATCCTTTGAAAATGTACCTTTAGAAATCCAGGCATTTATTAAAAGGAATGGCTTACTAAGCAAACAGCATTTCCTTATTTAACTTGTTTTAACACTGACAGATGTTGGAGGATCATGGGATGCCAATGGATGCCAATCAATTTAATCTACTAATTGAAAAATTAGGATTCCCAGATAGAGGGTTGAGTTATCTTGATTTTGTAGCTTCATTTGAAGGTAGGTAAACATGGCAACATAGCATAAAATGAAACTTTCATGAAACAGATAGAAGTTTTCTCTCACAATAGTATATAAGTCTCTTAAGGGAGACTCTCAAGAGACTTTGTATGTTTTTCTTATTGAGAAAATCATACAGGCCTCTATCATTTCAACACTGAATTACTTCAGTATGTTCTACATGTTAACCCAGATGCCACTGGTGCTGCCTCATCACCCCCATCCCATGTCACTCCTTCCACAGCAACTGGGTTCTTTGCAATACTCTTCCCTCATCTAGTTGCTGCTTCTTTCCCCAGGCTCCCTTAGGGTTTTGTACTGTGCATGCAGTGGGGGAAGGGAGCCAGACTGCTCAGGCTCTGTGAGATAAAGGCAGAAACTGGGTTGCTCCCACTGCTGGTGGGTGCTGTTTGGAAGTGGAGGGAGAGGATTGCTGCACATGCGGCAGGAGGGAGCTTGGGGGAAGGAGGGGCTGCCCACATGGGAGAATGCAGGCTGCCTGCATGGTGTATGCAGCTGAGGAGGAGGATGGAGGGGTGGGGGAGAGTGCTGCCCAAGTGGTGGAAGAGCCTAGGGAGATGGCTTCCTGTGCAGCAAGTAGCCCTCAGTCTGAGGCCTGCACCCAGTGCAGCCCTAGGACTATGGCCTGCGTGGCCCCCCCCCCCCCCCCCAACTGCTAGGCAGCCCTGCTGTGGGTCAGCTTGATATTTTAAGATCATGCCAAATTCAGATGTTCATTAAGTGAAGATCTTTCAGTGGAAATGTATCACCAGAGATCCATGACATGCACTGGCTACCCTTTGTTTTGTAGATTGAATCTAAAAAGTTGGTTTTACACTCCAAAGTTCTTGATGGTTTGAGACCTTGACATTTGAGAAGGACTGCTCCCTTCCTCCTTCCATAGTGCCTCAACTGAGATGAACAGAGGTGCTTAGGAAGGATCTCCCTTGATTTAAAAGAGAGGGGGTGGGGACAGCAGGAAATCGTTTTCAGCAGCTCTGACTCACAGCAATCTACTGCTGCCTCCCTCCCAACTTCCCTTCTGCACCTTCTGCACTCCCCACACTGCACCTTCTTCCCTCACTTTCCCCTTACTGTCAAGCACAGCTCAGCTCTGACCAGGGATGGGGTCTCTTATGGGCATGGAGCACATGAAACCCCTGCCTGGCCAATCAGCAGCACAATACTGCTGCATTGCCTGCCCAGCCAATCAGCAGTGCCAGCACTGCATGGCCAGGCAAGGGCTGAACTTCCATGTGCTGTGCTCCAGGATGAAGCTGCCCAAGCATTGTCTGCCAGTAAGGTGGGGGAGGGGGAAGAAGGGAAGATGATGAGATGAGTGGGGTTTGTGGGGAAAGGGCAGAGACTAGGAATTTGTTTGGAGGAAGAGGTAGAGACTGGGGAGCAGGGGGTAAGAGGCAATGACAGGGAGTTTGGGAGGGAAGATCCAGAGACTGGGGGAGAGCGACAGACTGTGGGGAGCTGCGGGTGGGAGATGGGGTGGGGGCAGGAAGGCTGCAAGGGGAAGACATTTCAATACTGAGATTCTAGATCTGGGATATTATAACAGGTTTATTAATTTTCCATGTATAGAATCTAATTAATTGGGGGGTGATCATTTTATATTCTGGGTAATCCTATATTCAAGTAGATATGGTAGTTGTATTTGTTTCATTGTGAATGTGAAGGTCCTTTGGGGAAGGCTAGGTAACTCCTTTTTTCTTTGTGCCTCTAAATAAATGAATAAATTAAATAACAAGCATACATTAATCATTGATTTAAAAATTATCTAGTGAGGTTATTATGGGTCTCAGCTAAAATAAAATTTCTTGGCTTAGGAAACAAATTTTAATAACATTTCATTAAAGTCTACTCAGGCAATTTGAGGGTAATTGAAGCTAAGTCTGGTTTGTATAATTTTTGTAGTGTTGGAGTGATGTTATATCTGTGATGGTCCCACAGACATGAGAGAGATGAAGATATTTGTGAGTAATCTCTTTTATTGGACCAAGTGCAGGGTTGGGATAGACATAAGATAAGCTTTCAAATGCAGTGCATTCTTCTTTAATGTTTCCTTCCTCAGACGTGAAGAAGAATGCACTGCATTTGAAAGCTTAAGTCTATCCCAACCCTACACTTGGTCCAAAAAAAGAGATCACCCACAAAAATCCTTACTACTTGTATAGTTTTTGTTATTTGCAATTGGAAAGGTTTCTTTTTGAAAAAAAATGTAAAAAGTAAAAAGTCGTCTTCTCCTTGACATTATTGGTATTAATTAATCATATCTTTTTTTGTAGTTGTGAGAGCCCAATGAGGTAGTATCACAGTTCCTGCGACTGCATTTGTGAAAACCTGTATATTTTGTGGACAGACACATGATAACCTCTGCTCCAGATAATTCACAATCCAGATATTAATACAAACTTCACAGCCATGTCGGCTGGATCAAAGCAGGAAACCGATCCGAAGCTCCGGATCATATCGCACAGCTGGATCCAAAGCAGCCGGATCCAAAACTGGATCGAATGCCTGCTGACTCGCACAGGCCTAATTTTTATGTGTAAATCTCTTTCATCTTACTATTCCTCATCAATGTGTATGATCCTATTTACTCTAATGTGACACTAGGGTGAAATGATTGCGGAGCAAATAAAGCAGGAGGAAATAAAAATGCAAAATCAATGTAATATGCTTTTAGGTATACAATATGTATTTATAATGAATGTGTGAGCATGAATGAATATATTGAGGGAGAATACCTGAGAGGGTGCTGGAAATTAAAATTTCACAGGCAAGTGTTGAGGTATACCCACTCCAAGCCGCTGTAAAACTTTTTCATTTCACCACACTGCGATATATTCTATACATAGTACTTAAGATGTGGGGAAACTCAATGTTTTTTTAAACAACTGTGTTGGGGCACTTTTCATTTCTCTATCCTGAAAAGGAAGGCACCTTAATTACCATTAGTTTGTCTGCACAGAGAACAGAAGTAACCATAAAAAGTATCTAACAATAATCAAAACAACTTTTCTGTTTCCAAAAATACTTTGTCTCTTCCAGGACTAGAATCAAATTTTGTATGGCCTCCTGGGAAGATGGCAATCCCTCCTTCCTGATATCCTTTGGCTGCAAAGGTTTAAATGGTTTAAATCAGTGACATCGGAGATGTTGAAAAGTGGTCATTTGTTCAGGACAGAATTTTGCCTGACCTGAGCCTCAGGCAGGTTAGTTTTGGGAGTCAAACTCCACAGTCCAGCTGTGAAAGAAGAAATATTTTGTTAGCTGAGGCTTGTTTGAAGCTGGCAATTTGGCTACATTAGAATTACTGCAGGATGTTTGATTACTGTGCAGTGAATGGGCAATTGCAGCCAAAGGTGTGTGACCAACTAATTTCCACGTCACTGTCTGCAGCAACCATATAAAGTGTTTTTGTTCACTTAGCCAAAGAGGCAAAATGATGACCAGACTCATTTCATATGGTCTCCACTCCTCTTCTCCAGTTCAGTGCCCTCCCTCAGAGCAACCAGAAAGCTAAATCAAAGGTAAAATGCCTTGCTTCCGTAGTGCTTTCTGCAGTAAGGTTTACTCACCGAGAATTGGAGCTTTCTTCCTTGCCTCTACAGAAAAACACACCATGGAGCAGAGCAGGAGCTGATGTAACTTCCCTGGAAATCAGATGGACATTTGCTAATTCTGTAAACATCTGTTGCAATATTTAATGTCTGGGGCCTGAAGAACATGAGAGGGTATTTTTAAAATGTCTTGTACATGGTAAATAAGCCAGCTTCATTGACAAAAATATTTAAACCCAAAGGGACTGGAGGGAGAGAGTCAGATCTTCAGATATTCAAACCACAGATTTCTTTACCATGATTTAATTATTTCATATTCCAGATTGAATGGACCTGGAACTACATTATATCACAGCCCAAACCCCCGAGTAAAGAGCACTAAATTTTACTACCTGACTGCTGAAGAATGTCTCAGTCAATTTAATAATAAACTGATGGAAGAACATGGGGTAAATAAATGCAACTGTATATTACTTTTGGCACTATAGCTCACTGTTAAGTCACTAAAAATATTTGTTTAGCATTTTTTAAGTGCTGTCAAAATGGCCTTATAAAATGTTATTGGTGTTTCATGTTTATTCTAAGTAACTTCCAAAGTGAACATGTTTTCAAGTCAATGGCTGATCCTCTAAACTACCATCCCTGTAAATTCTGTCCAGATCTAAAAATTCAACCTCCTTTATCATCATCAGTCCTAAAGATTCTGCAATCAGAAGCAAACCAATAGTGTTGATGGTGTAGAAAAACAGACCAAATGACACTTTCACATCTATATTGACTCAGCAATGCAACATAAAGAAAAAAGAATAGTTTACTGGGAAAATCAAAGCAGATTTATTTTCGAGTAGTGCAATTATGGCTTGAAAGTACAATTTCTGAAAATGCTAATTTACATTTCAATAGAAGTAGGCAGTAGCCCTGTATTACTGATGCATGCGGGTGGTCCCTTTTTTAAGAGTAAGGATGTGCAGAAGCAGATTCATGGTTTCTAAAAGCTGCAATGTGTAATGAAGTGACCTAAGTCAAGAAAAATCATTGTCTTCTCCAGAGACAGCATACCTACAACTCAGGATTCTCAGATCATAGGAAAGTATGGCTGGAAGGGACCTCATGAAGTCATCTAGTCTAGCCCCCACTGCTCAAGGCAGGATCATTCTTGACTAAATCGTCCCAGCCAAGTCTCAGTCTCAGTCCTACAAAAAATTAAAGTTTCACAATAGTATTATTAAGATAACAATTAGGATACAAAGGTGAATTCATGCAAACTGTCCCATAATTACTAGCGCTATAACCAATGGCAGTGTAGTACTGATTGAAATTGACCTGCTCACGCTTGTAGGGAGGCAGTTAGACGGGCCAAAGCTACCATGGAGCTGAGGATGGCATCCCAAGTAAAGGATAACAAGAAATTGTTTTTTAGATATATAGG